AAACAAGTGTGAATCGTTATTTTTTTTTGAAGATTTTTCAGATTTTGAAAAATTATGGCAAAAATAGGTTTTTGTGTTTTCAATAGATTTATGGAAAATTCATGAAGATATTTGGGGAAAATATAATTAACAAAAAATTTGAAAATGTAATTTTATCTCTACCTATAAAGACTAAATATGTTTTAGATCTATGGAATTATATATCATATCAATAGGGGAATTGAAGTTTCTTCTTTAATTTTTTATATTTTTTATATTTTTAGAATTAAAAAACAAATAAAAATTAATTATATTTTATCATTTGATTGCAACAATTGAATATATTATAATTCTATGGATGATCTATCATATCCACAGGCCAATTGAAATTTCTTCTTTAATAATTAATTTTTTTTTATTTTATTTTTAGAATTAAAAAATAAATAAATAATTAATTATATTTTATCATTTGATCACAATGATTGAATATATCATAATTCTATGGATGATCTATCATATCCACATAGCAACTAAAATTTCTTCTTTAATAACTATTTTTTGAATATATTATGTAATGTTTATTTATTTTTGATAATTTTTGGAAATATATAATAAATAATAATTATTTAAATAATAAATAATTATTAATTATATTTTCTCTTAGAAGTTTTGCCAATGGATGTTTTATGGTTGGATAGGAGAGTTGGGTTTTTCCCATTCCATAAAACATTAAAACTTAAGAATTATAATTTTTAAGTTATAGCTAAGCATAGGATTTTTAATGAAATTATAATTAACTACAATATATTTCTTCATAAAACCATTAAAATATATTAATTTAATGTATATACACCTCATTGAGGTCTTATATTTAGTGTTGTTGATGTATTTTTGTGATTTATTGAAGTATTTATAGTGTTTCCAAGCGTATCTTAGTTTTTCTCCGATACGCATGCGTATCCATGGTGTATCCCGATACGTCTCTTAAAATTGCCTTTTTGATACACTTGGTGTTTCCGATACTTTGAACCTTGATCGGGACATGCCATTGTTCGATTTTTTCAATGGAATTGTGGTAGATCATTTCCAAGCTATTAGGGGAATAAGGCAAGGGGACCTCCTTTCTCCATTCTTGTTCACACTAATTGTAGAAGTTGATCGGAGATTGATCTCTAGGGTTGATTCTAGGAATTTAGTGAGGGGCTGGAGAATTGGTAGAGAGGACATTCCTATCACCTTTAGTTTGCTGATGATATGATTTTGTTTTGTGATGGAAATGATTTGAGGTGGGTGAGAATTTTAAAGATGATGGTGCTGATAATTGAAAACAATGTCAAATTTGAAAGTGAATTGGGACAAGTGTTGTCTTGTGGGCTTGAACATGGAGGATAAACATGTTTTTGGAGGAGCTGAGGTGTTTGATTGCAAGGTGCTCCAATTGCCTTTCAAATATTTAGGTTTACCTTTAGGAGGTAATCCAAAGAGAAGCCATTTTTGGAACTTGGTAGTTAAAAGTTCTCTAAAAGGTTTTCTTCTTGGAAGAAATGTTACTTGCCCTTGGGGGGTAGAATAACCTTAATTAGGTCCTCTCTAGAAAATTTTGCCAATTTACTTCTTGTCTGTCTTTAAGGCTCTGTTTGGTTTGTGGGATGATTTGGGTGGGATGGGAAAGGATGGGATGGGATGAGAAAGTGTGAAGTTTTCATTTTCCATCATTTGGTTTATGAGAAAATTATTGAGAGAAAACATGACATAAATCAGAATTGAAAATAAAACTATTTAGCTCCAAAAATCGGTTGTCCCTCTAAAAAGTTTCAAACTCATTGAATCCATAATTTTCCACATAACAACGGACCATTGCTATCCATGAAATGGCATTTGTGAGAAGGCACTTAAACCCACTTTGTCCTATATTATCATGATTCATAAATTCTTTTTCTTCCTGTAGTGATTTCAAGTGCCCATAGGCTCCAAATTAGATGATAGGGATCACGACTGGTGACATGGGCTTGGATGAGACTGTTCCAAGCGAAGGTGTTTGACTGGGAATTTGGTCGAACATATGGTGGGTGATTGCAATTTTTCAGGTTTAGAGGAGATTTAAAGCTGGGCTTCAACACTAGTGGCTTGCCAAAGTTGGGATTCGTTTATTGGTTTCTAGGCTTTGAACATTGTATCTGTTACAGTTGAAGGGCATCTATTTGTTCTATAGTTGGATAAATTCTGAAAATAATTAATTATCAGAATGAGTTGAGTGCATTTGGAAATAAATTTATGAAAATCACAATTTTAATCGAAGGAACGATAGTGGTGTTTGGAAACATTTGGTGGAAATCATTGTATTAGGAGAACAGTAATATCCATGTAGTAGACAGGGGAGACAACAGAATAAGAGATGGAGAGTTGAAGAGAAGAAAAGGGCTCTGTTTTTTCAAGAAAAAATAGGTTATATCTTGATCGAAGTAAAATGGTAGAAGGAAATCAAATGCTGAAGAGAGAGAGAGAGAGAGAGCATTGGCATTGGTTGTCGGAAACCATGGCAGCCAGGCCCACTGTGATTCAGCATAGGAAGTGGAGACAACCATCTATCTGAAAATGTCACCGGAAGCTTGGATGTTGCTATTGGGCATAGGAGGTGGAGAAGACAGACAACAAACATTTTTAAAAAGCAAGCCCAATACTCTTTCCCTTTATTTTCTCACCGGGTCGCACTGTTTTTGTAAGACCCCAAATCCCAGTTTTTGAGAAAGTACGTCCCCCTATTTTCCCATCCCATTTTCGTGTGTCTCACAAAACAAACATGGGAAAGTGGAATATTTTAGGAATATTCCATCTTTCTCACCTCTTTCTAGCAAATCAAACAGAGCGTAAGGTTCCAAGAGGGATTAACAAGCAAATAGAAGAGATGATGGACTTTTTGTGGGAGATAGGGGAGGAGAAAAAAGACCAGAGTTAGATGGGAGGTGGTTAGAAGAAGTAAGAAATTTGGTGGGCTAGGGCTAGGGAACATTCAGGAAAAGAATGTGGCTCTATTTGCAAAATGGCTTTGGAGATTGCAAATTGATATGGATAAGTTGTGGAGGAAGGTGATTATCAGTATTCATGGACTCGTGGCTGATGGTAGGGATGCTGGTATGCTGGCTAGGGATACAAGAGCTTCTCCTTGGAAGTCTATCCATGCCATCATCATTCTTACCTTTTCTTAGGTATACTCCTTGTTCTAGTAATCTTGTTAAATTCTAGGAGCATCTATGGTTGGGTAACTTAACTCTCAAAGATCAATTTCCTTCAATTTATGCAATTTCTAACCTTCCAATTCTTCTTTTGGATATGTTTGGGATCTGGACCTTAGGAGCGGTCTAAGAGACTATGAGGTCAATAATGCTCTTACCTTGATCTAAAGTCTTGAGAGAGTATATTTGGACCCCTCAAGAAGTGATTGCAGAATCTGGACTCTCTCTCCATCGGGTACCTTCACCTGTGATTGGTGGCCAATTTTTTCCATTTAACGAAGTTTGGAGTAAGCCTATTCTACCTAGGATTGGTGGCTTTTTCTTGGACGTGATTCTTGGTAGGATTTATATGTGTTGTGCTCCAAAGAAAATGACCTAACTGATGCTTATCTCCTCATTGATATCTTCTCTATAAGGATAATGGTGAGTCTTCCCATCACTTATTAATCTCCTATCCTTTTGGTCCTCGCCAAGCATACAAAGCTTGTTCAATCCTACCTTTGTTAGTTGGCAAAAAAGAAGGGGCAAAATTTTCTGGATGTGTACAGGTGCTGTTGTGTGCTGGACAATATGGGAAGAAAAAAATCAAGACTATTTGCAAATAAGGAAAGAGGTAGGGAAGCCCTAATTGAAGCAATTACAACCAGGGCGATCCATTGGTTGAAAACTCAGAAAAGTGGAGTTAAGTGGCTGACTCTGCTCCACTGGAACCTGTTACTAGCCTTTCCTGGAACCCTCTAATCAATGGATTTATCAAACTGAGTTTTGTTGGTAGTAGTGAGGGTAATCCTGAACCGTCAGGCATTGGAGTTGCTTTCAGAGATGTGGATGCCATATTTAGGGCTATTTTCTCTGGCCCTATTGGTGTGGATGACTCTTTCAGAGCTGAAATCTTTGCTGTGATGGAAGGATTCAGAAAGCTAAGGAGTTAAATATCTCTAAGCTGATAACAAAAGGGGACTCAAAGCTTGTTATTGGCTGGCTTCAAAAGGAGGAGGCGATGGGATGGTGGGATTATATAAATGAAAGGAAGTTCAGGGGTGGGAAGAAGCAATTTTCTCTGGGCTATCTTGTAATTCTTTTTTCTCTGTTTGGGGGAGCTAGGAGAGAGAGAGGGAGAGAGAGAGAGAGAGAGAGACTTGGGATCAAATCCTGCTGCCATCAGGGTTGGGGTGTAAGGGGATGGGGGATGGGCTACCTCCTGTTGTCTAGAGAGAGAGAGAGAGAGAGACTTGGGATCAAATCCTGCTGCCATCAGGGTTGGGGTGTAAGGGGATGGGGGATGGGCTACCTCCTGTTGTCTAGCCCCATGAAGTATATATATATGTGTGTGTGTGTGTGGAGATATTTTTAGAACTCTTTTTGTTAATTGGGAAGTGGGATAAAATGATAAGTGAGTAAGAGTTTAGGAGAGGGAGATATTTGACTACTTTTAGGTAATTGGGTTGGGAATGCTTTTAGATAAGTTTACATGTGGCACGTATTACATCATTTTAAGGGAATTAAAAAAATAGAAGTTTCAAACAAAAAAAAAAGAGAAAATTGTGATGGGGAATGGAGAAAGGAAGCCTGCTGATATGGATCAAATATTTTTAGTACATAGTATGGATAATGGAAGTACTGAGAAGTATATGATTGGCTTAATATTTTCTCCTCTATCTTGGATTATTATTTACTTTCAATGTTTTCATGTTCATTATAAGGGTATATAAGTTCAATTTTACCTGCAAATGGATGTACTTTGTTTTGTCATTTTGTTCACAATCTTTTAACTTTCCTTTTCTGCAGAAACTAATATTTGAGAAGGCACCTCCTAATGTGCGAAAAATAGTTCTTGCTACTAACATGGCTGAGGCAAGCATAACAATCAATGATATAGTTTTTGTTGTAGATTGTGGAAAAGCAAAAGAAACCACATATGATGCTTTGAACAACACACCTTGTCTACTTCCTTCATGGATATCTCAAGCATCTGCTCGCCAAGTAAGTTTTCTTGCACATTAGTTATGGATACTATGGCATATCATCTGTGTGAAACTGTGAATGCACAAATGGAACATGCCACTGAATAGTTGAGGCATTTTTCAGTTTTTCATGCCAGTGGTGCATTCTCTATTATGAGAACATGTGAATCTATTACAATTTCATGCTTATATGGGCACTGCAGGGTCTTTTGACTCAATCATGAAGAATTTTTTATGCAAAGAGTACCTTCTAGGTATTTGTATGACACACCTTGTTGATTGCCTTGTTTTTTATCAGTAAATGAAAACTTTTATCAACTTGTAGGAATAAATGTATTATATACAGTACATTGCTACCTAACCCACCATCCATTCATCCATTAAATTCAACTTTATATTTCATTAATCTCCAAATACATATGAGATGTGCTAGTCCCTTGTTTGGCAAATCCATCTGCCAAACAATTAAGTGATCATTGAATCCATCTGCAAGTGGGAGCAACTTGCTCCTACTTTTCTAGCAAGAAAATTTCTGTCATTATATATTTATACTGCCATGGTCCCTCACTTCCATTTTTGACCCATCCAATAGCAGTCCTCAAATCCTCTTCTACTATCAACCTAAGATTTCCTTATTATTTTTTTTTTCACTCTTCTTACTCGTATGACATCAATTGACAGGGTTCACTTTCAGTGGAATTGTGGAACTTTTCGGAGTGGATGTTTTATGTGGAAAGACATCATTTTTGCAAGTTTTATGCCCTTACTACATAACATTGTTTGAATTCATTGTCTAATGAATAACTGACATTTTATTAAAACGTAAAAAAGAATTTGTTTATACAAACTGCCTGACACCCCACAAACAAATGTGGCTGAAGCCAATTCCTATATCCAACTCTTAATTCTTACAAACATTCAGCATTTACAACTCTCCCACAAAGACTGTTTGGATTCATTTCATAGCTTGTGTTAATTTCAACTTTTTGTCGATATAATTCCAAGTCCATGAAACCCTATCTTGAAGTGCTCCCAATCAACACACATTTATTTGATTTTGATATACTTATAAAGTATACACTTGGATATGTTCAGAAATATAACTACATGTTTTAAATACTGACACTTATGGTGATGAAACATAGACTTGGATGTATTTTGGCAAAGCAAGGAAAATGGACAAAATGTTAGAATATCTATACTATGTCTTGATTGGATTCTTTGTGTTTGTATTTATAGTAATAGTATTACTTTATCTTACTCCATTTTCTATGTGAACCAACATCTTGCATCATTTATGTTACTTTGTTTGCAGAGGAGGGGCAGAGCTGGACGTGTGCAACCAGGAGAGTGCTATCACCTTTATCCTAGATGTGTTTATGAAGCCTTTGCTGAATATCAACTTCCTGAACTTTTGAGGACTCCTTTGAACTCTCTTTGTTTGCAAATAAAATGTTTGCAGCTTGGATCTATAGGGGAATTCTTATCTGCTGCATTGCAACCACCAGAACCACGTGCTGTAAGCATTCTAATCTGGTTCCTTTCAATACTATCTGATTTATATTTTTGGGGACCAAACTGAACTTTAATGCACTTATCCAAAAAAAAAAACTGGATTTTAATACAAATTACTTAGAGTTTATCCTGTTCTAGAATCATCTGATTCTTGGGCATTGGTTCTAGAATTGGTTATTTTAGTTCTTGTGTCTCATTACTTTGGGTGTGTCAGTGAAGAAGGCTGGTTATCATGTTATAAATAGTCAAATACCTTTCCCATTTCACTTGTAGAGAAAGAAAAGGAATCTGTTGTAATTTGACTGCTTAATTTAAGTTTCTAGAAATATATTCCCCATTTCTCACTAGAATTTTGCACCACTCAAGTCTTTGTTATTTGACTGCTCAAATTATTCTCTATACCTATGAGATCATTGAGAAGATTTTGGCTTTTTTTCATCATGGGTCAGGTTTTTCCCCCTTATTTTTAGGGATTCATTCTGGGGATGTCATTTCTAACCAGGAATTGGTATTGAGGTGATATCCTAATTTCTTGGTTTCCTTAGTGACACCATCCCTCTCCTAGAGGTGTGGTCAAATTCAACCTTTTGGTTTTAGATTCTTTAGGACCTAGGATCCAGCAGGGACAAGTGCTATGTTGATGCACATGCCTTCCATCAATCCTTGATCAAATCTACAAAAAGAAGCCAAGAGAAAGGTGATGGAGAAGGCTGTTCATGTGGGAAAACTTTGACTGTTTCCATAAAACAGTGCAGGCTGTTTTTTTCCCCTAAGCATGACACGTAATCAGTTCGAAACATTCAACTAACCCGGCGTTAAAATCTCAGTCTGCTTTTTCATTTTCTCGATAAAAACAACAAAAATATATAATTTTTTTTTCAAAAATCCATCGCATCATAATAATGATTCTGTTTTTCACTCCCCAAAAACCACTCCCGCCCATCCCTCTTCTCTCCCCTCTTCTTGGGGTTTCGGAGCCCCCTGTTTTGTTCTCATTCAGCACTAGTTTTCTTCTCTCTGTTCTCCTCTTCCTGAGCAAGGGACCGGGACTCTTCTCCGACATCGGAAAGAAGGCCAAAGATCTGTTAACTAAGGACTATAGCTCTGATTAGAAATTTGCCATCACGTCTTACAGTGTTGCTGAAGTTGCCCTCACTTCAACTGCTGGTGAGAACTGCATAGTTTCTCAGACAGCTCTTCTCTCCCTCTCAAGTCTCATCCCTTATGAAAGACATCCATGTGGCACCGGGAGACTTGAAAGCTGGAGCTCAGCTGCTACAATTTTAGGGGCGCTGCTCCCTGCAGATAATAAACATGAAAGCCAGAGTTCTGCATCATCCAAATCTCCACTCTCCAACCGTTTACTAGTCTATTAAATCAGCATTAGTAAGTGCGTCGTGTCTTAGCAGATCAGCCCTCTCTGCATTCACTATCTTGGTTTTGATGCAATTACTGAAGTGGGTTGCAGGAAGTGGAGGATCTAGATGAGATCTATAGTCAACATTAATCAAAACATGAAACCTTTCATTCCCTGCCTGAGCCAAGCAAACCCAGGTGACCAGGTATAAGTGCAGACTACCGTGAAGGTCGACAGACAAGGTTGTTGTAGTTGCCCCTACTTCCTACGCATTGCAAAGATCCTTTCCCCTAGTCTTGCAACATTGGCTCCATTCAGCTGGAATGTGACTCGGACTACCTTGGGTGGGTGGGGGTGAGATTGGGAGACTTGAGATGGAGAAGAAGAAATGTACAACTGGAGGGATGGGCGGGGAGAGTTTTTGGTTGGAGTGAGAATCGTTATTAGGATTTTTTTGAAAAAATAAATTGTTTTTTTGCTTTTGTTTTTTTATTGACAAATGAAAAATCAAATGGAGCTTTTAACGCCATGGTTAGTTGAATGTTTGAGGGAGGCACATGTCATGCTTGGAAAGAAATCAAATTGCCTGGGCTGTTATATGCAAACAGCCATAGTTTTCCCTGTTCATGTCAACAGTCCAACTTCTGGGAGGAAATCTCAGACTTAATTTTGAGAAAAGGGTAAGGCTGTATAATATATCTTAGATCCACCAAATCCTAAATCCTAAACCTTGAGGGCTGTACCATCTATACTTCCTCCTAATCACCCTACAAGAAAGCATTTTCTACAGAAAATTGGTGATGTTGTCACCCAAATTAGCTGCAGGGACAAGAGTAATCATATAGAGTTCATTTTTGCAACAGGTGCAAATGTTTCGGTATAATCAACACCATACATCTAACATAAACCTTAGCAACCTATCAAACCTTGTACCTCTCAACAGAAATATTTATCCTATGCTTGACAAAGAACACCTACTTACATCTAATAGGTTCTTTCCCCTCAGGAAGATTTACCAGTTTGCAAATGCTATTCATATGCACGTCCTCAATTGCTTAGAAATAGCTGTAAAAAAAACATGGTATGAAGGAGACAAGGAATCACAAGATGTATAGTGAGCAATTCAAAGGAGTTAAAGGTGAGTTGGATCTTCCTCTTGGAATTCTAGTGGCATAGAATCTATGGTCTCAGGCTGTTCCACACCTTGGGATTCATGCTGGACCTTCTGGTGCTACGAGAATGAACGAAGGCCCGAAGAGGAAAGAAATGGGAATATACAAGGAAAGCTCAACTTGCTTCCCATCACTACATGCCCCTCACTGATGAGAGGCAATACTAAGATTCAAAGGATAAGACATCCATGCAGATATATGACTTAGAAAAAATTGGATCATAACATTTGTATCCCTTTCGAGATGTAGGATAATCAAGGAAGATGCAGAAAATGGTTTCGGATCTAATTTGCCACCGTAGTTGTGCAGCTGGAAAGAGGAACTTCAGCCAGTAATTGTGAGGGAGATCAGGATGGGGTGCACCAAGGATTGTCAGTTGGGCTCTGAAAGGAAGGAATGGAAAGTATGCAAGAATTATGATGCTGTCTTTATTATTGCTGATTCTCAGGTTGTTGAGCCGCTGTAACCACCTGCTGACATGGTCTCTGGTTCCTCCTTGTGTAAACTTGCTGAATAAGGGGCTTGGTATGATTAACCCTTACACCTGAGTTTCTAACAATAGGATCCCCTAGATGGTATTTAGGAGCTTCTGGATGAGCGTCAATGTGCGTCAGTATTCTCCAAATTAGACCTCAGGTGCAAGTCTGTCCTCCAGATGTGCACAAGATGAGCTTCCATACACATGACAACCATTATGAGTTCTTGGTAATGCCATTTGGGCTTACCAATGCACCTTTGACTTTTCAAGCACTAATGAACGAGAAATTTTTTCCCTACCTATGTAAGTTTATCCTTGTATTCTTTGATGATATACTTGTTTATATACCTGATTAGAATACTCATATGGTGCACTTGGCCATTACATTGTCTACATTGTAAGTGGTGGTAGGGTGATGGATGATCCTTTTTAAGGTTGAGTTCATTCTGTTAGGCCACAATAGTGCTGTTAAGGCCCACAATAGTCCTTTGATTGTTCAGCCATATGGATCTTCTGTTCTAGTACCACTATATTCACTATAATTCAAAAGAACTATGGCATGTCTATAATTTTTAAAATGTTTCCGTACAATATTTCCAACATGTTTCCTACTTTTGAAGACCATTTCCATCGACACGATCTCTCTCTCTCTCTCTCTCTATGTACAGAAGTTGACAGCTTCCGTATGTTATCAGGTCCAAAATGCTGTTGATTTCCTGAAGATGATTGGAGCACTTGATGAAAGGGAGAATATGACAAATCTTGGTGAATCATTTTATTCTTGTACATTTGAGAGTTACTATGATAAACAACATTCAATCCTGGGCTCCGTTTCATATCATCATGGTTTTCTTTATTGATTTTCAGGAGAGTTTCTATCAATGCTTCCAGTTGATCCCAAGCTTGGAAAAATGCTTGTAATGGGGGCTATCTTTCACTGTTTTGATCCTATTCTTACAATAGTGTCAGGACTTAGCGTCAGGGATCCATTTCTGTTGCCTCAAGACAAAAAGGATGTAAGTCTCATGTGTTAACCTTCTCTATGTATGAACTTTTGAAATATATACATTACATACAGACTTAAGCTTCTTATAGTTGTTATTAACTTTCAGTTAATTATTTACTGTCAATAAAATGTCATCTTTATCTAATTACTTTTGCATTTATTGTGTATATTGGAATTTCAAATACAATGCTGGATGCACAGTATATTGGTACATGATTTGGAAGATGATCATGGACAAACCAGAGGGTATATTCAAATTAAATCAAAGAACTATGGCATTTAAGAAAGAGAATAAAAGGGAAGTGCTGATAAAAAACAGAATAAGAAGAAGGTGCAAAAGAACAATAGAACTGAAAGATTGATTTGGTGAACCAAATTATCATTGCAAGGCTTAAATGAAGAACACTTAAGAAATTAAAACAACAAGAATAACTAGATTCATCCTCCTCCTCCTCATCATCATCATCAAATCCCAAGTACATTCTACACGAATCCGGTTTCGCCATTCTATTCTGTTAATGCCATATCCATTGTTAAATTATGAGTGCTTAAATCATTTCTTACTACTTCGACGGATGTCCTTGTTGGTCTACCCCTAGCTCTTCTACCCTCTTCAACTTGCAAGAGATCACTTCTTGTTACGGATGCTGTTAGTGGTCATCTATGCACATGACCAAACCATCTTAGTTTTCCTAATTGGAGTTACTTCTGGCTTCCTTCAAATGACTTCATTTCTGACTCTGCTCATTCTAGTTTTCCTAACCATCCATCTCAGCATACGCATTTAGCTTACATTAATGTTTTGGGAATATTGTACCTTGATTGTTCAACGCTCTACTCCATACAACATATATGTCCCTATAACTGTTCTATAAAAAAAAATTCCTTTTAATCTAGGTTTTATTTGCCTGTCACATAAGACTCTGGATGCACTCTTCTGCTTTTGCCCATCTTGCTCTACTTCTATTGGCAACATGCTCCTTAATCTCTCCCTTTGTTATGAATTGTGAATGAAGGTACTGGAAAAGGTCAAGGTAACCAAAGGGAAAATGGAGGGATGCATCTGGAGTTTTATAGGTGATAAAATAAGTCATTTGAAGAGAAATTTGAGTAAGATGGTTTGGTCATGTGCATTGAAGACCAAGGTTCAAAGTTTTGTCATGTATTGGGGTGTATCAGGTGTATCTTATTGTTCTGGTAGCACCCCAAGTCCCCAATACTCTTAAATAACGTTGGGTTTTGGCAATTTCAGGGGGTGGACAGGCCTAAGACTGACCCCTTGTAGACATTTGAAAAGAACAAAAAAAGGCTTGTGTGCCTTGGAAACACCTGATACACAAGGTTTGTGTGTGTCGGGTGTATTGATATTTAAAACTTGTTGAAGACTGTAGAGAACACTGATGTGGGCCCCACAGCTATGGTTCCATTGTGTTCGTAGGGTAGAATGTGTTCTAGTCATCCTAGGGTTAGCTGGTGGTGAATCTGTTATTTCAGTTGTTATTTATTTCAGTTTTATTGTGTTCTATTTGTTATGTAAATACTAAGGGCAGATCTGTCCTTCCATGTAATTAGCATAAC